ACTACCACTACCACTCACTCCACTACCACACCACCACCACCACCACCACCACCACCACCACCACCACCACCACCACCACCACCACCACTACCGCTAGCGCTACTGCTCTACTACAACAACCACTACTACTACGCGGCTGCTGCTACTGCTGCTGCTGCTGCTGCTGCTGCTGCTGCTACTACCACTACTACGACGACGACGACTACTACTACGACGACGATGACGACTTCGACTTACACTACTTCTACCACTACTTCACGACCACCACCAAAATAATGGTTTATTGGCTAGCATACCCCCCAACGTCCGATACCATCTACTTGTGTAAGTCGAAGAGGGGAACAGCTTAGCATTTGCGACGAACAGAAGAACGCATACAAGAACACATGTCAAGGCGTCACTTTCGGCGCCACGAAGTGAAAATCCCGCGAAACAATCCCACCCCCTGTTGAGACTCATGGAGTTTTTTTGGTCTTCCTCAGACATGACTTGAGAATTCTTTTCAGGCCTAAGAGACGTATGAAAGCAATTAAAAAACGCCCGGGCATCTGGCATCCAACGCTTGATGGTGTTAAGACCCAAACTGAGAGAGGCCGTGGCGGCCGGGCTTGCCCGTGATAAGTGCATGGTCTTGGGAAATATTTAATTGAGGGAAGTGGCGAAAGTCGACAAAGGACATGCGCGAAACATCCGGGCAAGCAAGCCCACCAAGATTCCACTCTGGTGGTTTCCTTCGGAAAGAATGGTTCTCAATTTGCTCTTTCATCGCCTTCCCCGTGAACCTCCCCTGCCCCAGCAAGTTTCACCTTACTATGCTGCCATGTGCATCTTGGAAAGACGTAGTGTTGGGCGAACCCTGAAATGTCAAGAGATGAGCGCCCCGGCAGTCTGAGATGCGAGGGCCAAGCCACCAGCCAAGGCCAGAGACAAGGACCTTCAATGCAAGCAGTTCTTCAAGCCTTCAAATGTGGTGAGGAATGCTCCTGTGTAATCACTGATGACAAGCTGGAAAGGCTGCAAGACAGGCCGCCGGTCGTGCAAGTATTCTCGCCCAGTTCTCGCAACCCGCTGAGTCCATGTGACTAAAGGCTACGATGATTGTAGCCTGGGGCATCCTGCGAGGGCAGTCACACTGCGCTCTGTGCTCTCACGTCGTTGAGAACTGTCCAGCGAACGCATGCAGAGTGCTTGGCAATGCTTGAACAAGAGCTTGTCGCCAAGCTTCTGCAGATGGTGCTGAAAGAACAGAAAAATGGGCATAAACACATCGCCGTCGTTACCACTCAACTCAACCCCGTCTTGCAAATGTCGTCCTAAAGTGAACAAATAGAATGTCTGCAAGGGCTCTTGAAGGGGAATTCAAATTGCTTTGTCCAAATGGGGGATGCATGACCGGTCGTCGAAGTCAAGGCCTCTGAAGCGACAACTGCGATTCACAGGGCAACTGGGTCAGCACAGGCCCAGCCTGGCCAGACTGGATGTTTAGCATGACTTGGAGGTCTGGTATGCGCAAGGAAGGTTTGGGCTGGCTTTGTTGTCTAAGCCACGCTGTGCTGAGATATCCTGAGGCGTGTTCTTTGAAAATTGAGAGTTCACGCTTCTGCTGCCTTTTCTACCACAGTCGCACCATGCTGGGCACAGAACTTCTTTAAACACCCAGGTGGCAAATCAAAGCTGCAATTGCTACCCTTGACAGCGTTTCCAATGCATCTATGATGCCTTATGATGATGAGGCCACGTGCCATGTCTAGTCAAGTTGACATTGAAGCTATCTGTAAGTCTCACATCTGAATCTGAAGCATGTCCCTGCCGCTCAAACCAACAGATCTTTAGATATCCTGCAAATACTTGTGAGATGCGTGAAGCAGATCTGCAGCAGGCTTCGGGGAGCTAATTGGTTTTCAGTCCACTTGATGCAAGTTCTCAGGTTTGAATTCCCAGACAAGGTGAGCAGCAACACACCTCTTGTAAGACGCGTCTCTTGGCCAAAAACCTCAAAGGCCCTGATACTGCTATCCGCCAAGGTATTTGGCAACCTAGTGGCCCAAATGCAATATTTCTTTGCTTAACCTGATGCTGCCGAACCATGCGGAACTCACATCTAGAAGAAGTGCCAGGAACCTGCACGCTAGAGATGTTTGGAGATTCTAGGCATTCCTCATACTGAGAACTATGCAGGAGTAGACTATAAACTCAAAGATGACAGCTCTGAGGGGACTGCTTCTGCTTCGACTCCCTGGGCGAGCATCTCTACTGTACACAAATCAGGATATTAAATCGGACAACGCGCTCGTTGCCTACCGTATATCTCTAGCAAAATAATGCTGTCTAAGCTGTGCTGTGGCCTGGCCATGAACTATGAACTAGGGGATTCTACTGGGTCCTGGGGAGAGAAGCTTGTAAGCAAAATGCAGAAGCCTTGTGCTGGAGCATCAGAAGGGAATGTATCTATGGGCCCAACCCCTGCTTGATGGTACGTTTGCATGGCATCGCCAAAGTGACCGAACTGCGTGCTTTTAAAACATGTGCGTTACACAATAAAGCTTTAGGAACACATGGCTTCCGGCAGTTTTGGGTGCAGTCAGCGATCAATGAACCTCTCTGTCCTGTTTCACTTGGGTCACAAAATGGAGACTGCGGCTCAGGAGATCTCATTTCTGGCTGACGCAGGCCCGTACTCTGGAAATCTTTGATCTCAGCATCTTGTTGTCAACGTGAGGCCGCGAACGGTGACTCACGAGCTCGTAGACACACATCACAGGACGGCACTAGGAAACATGACAGACTCCAGTCGGCATGGAATTTGCAAAAAGCAAAACATGAACATTCAAACCACTAACGCGATGACGTATAGATTCTTATCCGCCTGACTGGGCAAAGATTGCCAACAAAAGCTTGTCTGAGCTGCCCGCCGCCATGTTCACTGAACCTGCGTCGACACTCAGATTCGTCACAGCAAGATGCGACGTCAAACACCGCAAGCACTAGTCAGCTATCTTGCCAGACGCCCTTTGCCGGAGGGCGTTTTATGTAGCGCTCGTCGCAACCACCCTGAGCCCTGAGTGGCTTTTTTGGGGCCTGTGGATGTTATCAAGGGCTCTCATGCTCTCTGAACCAAGAAGCAAGCGTAAGATACCGTAAGGGTTTTCGAAGCAAGCTCCAGGCTTTGGCGAGTGCATCGAGGTGATCGGATCCAAACTTGTGTCTATTTTCATGATGCTACACGGTCTCCATTGGGCGCCGCTGAAGCAAACTGCTATGCATTGTGAGAAAAAAACCTCGGCATAGTCAGCGAATAAGCCTCTGGTAGTGCAAACACCCTGCCCCGGCCTGGGGCTCTCGATGATCTGAGCACTGGTGCAAGCCAGCACTACTGCCTTTGCGAATTCAAGCCTTCTGGGAGCCAGCAGAATCCGGGTGCCTTCCAGCAAGCCTTCTGGAAACGAAATGTTCTATGCACTTATGCAACGACTTACCTTGTGTGGCTTTATGACGATGGTTTTGCTGCTGCTTGTGTTCGATCGTGGTTTTACGCCATTTAGGCCCCATGAGGACTGCAGGTGAGGGAACCTGTCTGCGCCTGCAGCCCCAGGGTAGCTCATAAAATGAAGCAAAGAAAACTCACCTCGGCGTTCCCACAAAGGCATGACTTCCTCTTCCTCTGTCATGCCACATGTTCTAACAACATCTTCCTAGCCGAGCCTCTGCCGTTACATCCGAGCCGGTGCACAACGCCTCTTTTAACGCCTTCCTCGCCTACCCACACCACGATCCCGAAAGTCGTTCTCGCCTGCATCACGCTGGCGGAAGAACTTCTTCGGCTTAACCTTGCGCAGGGTGCGTTCCGGATCGGAGGACGTCCGGGAGACCCACCGTAGTTCTGCCCATCCCCTGCTGGGCTCGCAAATCCCAACCAGGCTGGCGCACTGACCGCTTGCACACTGCAAGGCTGTGATATTCAAGCTGCTAGCCCGCATTAACAGCGGTGATGTGCTCGGGCCTCCTGCAAAGCAGGCCACATAATCGAGGCCGTTCCTGGCGTCACTGAAAACTGCACAAGCTTCGCCAAGTACGCCCACGGATAGGCTGCTTGCCCAAAAGTCCTGGATGTTTGAAACACCTGGTGGAGAGCAATGCTGCCAAAGATCTTGAAAAAGAAGTGGCTTGTAAAGAGTTTTGGGTCGGCGAAGGTCGACCCCTTGTATTGCTAGACCTTCAGCAGTCAGCAAGGTCATGGTCAAGTGGTACCCGTCTGGATCCAAATCCAAGGCTGTCAAGGTCACATTCTCGCTGCTCCAAAGCGGCCTGGCTTCAGCACTCCGAAAGTCCCAAAGCCGAATATTTCCTCCTTCAGCAGAGGCCAAGAGTGCTGAATTCGACCACCTCAGGCCGCGCAGTAGCCCAGAGTTTTGCACGGAAGACAGAACGGTCAGCGGCCTTGTCGGATCATACAAAGCCGCACCGCCACCCCAACAGCTGCAAAGAGCAGGCGTCTGCCGCAGCCAAAAGAGACCTCAGGCATCCGCTTCCAAGGATGCTCTGCTACTGTTCGGCATGCGGAGAAACTCCTGAAACCAACTTCTGTCTCAAAAAACCAAGCATCCCGTGCAGGATCCCGGAAGAGAGTCTCGGGCAAGCTCCGGGCAGGAAGCCTCTGCCTCGGTGACGTCCTCCAGGCGGACCAGTCCATCTGCCTCAGCCACCGCCAGAAGCCCACTGTCTGCCTGCAAGGACTGTGCGGTGTAACCCTGAGCTGGGAGGGATGTGCTGGAGTCCCGCAGTTGGCTTTGGAATCGATGAATTGTCCTGTCCACCTCTTCAACTCATTTACTCTCAAAAAGCCCTTCATGCAATGTGATGCAGAAATACGCCAAACCTCCCCAAAGGCCTGCGGGCACAGAGCCAGGAGCTCTGCCGGGCTTCGGCGCGGACGCCGCAAGGTGGGAAGCCGCCGGAAGGATGCCGGGGTGGCCTCCAGATTGAAGGTTGACTTATGGGTGATAAGCAGGGAATGGAAAAGTCAATGGAAGCTACTGCGTTTAGGCAATGGGAAAATGGGTTGTGTTATGAACTGTTCTAGGGAGGGACTGCCATTACTTCAGGGGTCCCTTCATTTCCTCAAAACAAGCACCATGTAGAGAAAGAGTAACTTAGACGAGATGGCTTGCAGAGAGAGGCGCAATGCAAAGCCACTATGATGTTCAGGGTTAAGGGCGGGTGGTTGCTAGAGCGTGTAGGGATGGAAAAGAACATGGAAGATACTACGTTGTGTAGGGTTCAGGGTTTAGCTTGGCAATGAAGGAATGGGAAGAAAAAGATGGCAATTATCAGATGTAGGTAACCTAGAGAGCTGCCGCGAGGCGCCACATCATGCAGGGTTTCAGGTTTGGGTTGGGAAGGGAGGAGTAGATATCTATAGTTCCTACCCGTTAGTGTGTCTAGTTCTCCCCCTCACTCCCTTAGGAGTATACAATGTTCGCTATGGCTCACTGCCATGCACGCTCCCCTGACATAGTTGACAAATTCACAGCAGACCCTGCAAAGCTTTGGTGTGCATCCAAAACTGCCGCGGCGTGCTACAACTCCTCAGTCTCTCATCTCAATTTTGAAGACACAGCTGTTAAACTGCCTCTATGAGGCGGATCTCTGACGTCATGGAGTTCACGGCGATCAAGCCGTGTTCGACGGTCAGGGAGCTTGGTGGACTTTCTAACGGCAAGGAGCCTTGGGTGCAGGCTTCTGTGGTCCATCTAATTCTGTGCAAACTAAAGAAGAAACCTTTCCCAAACCCATCGGCCTCCGTGACTCTCAAGGCCAACTAGAAGTGACCCGGAGCTGATACAAAATCAAATGAGGCGCAAAACATTTGCGCCTCAGGCTCTGCCTCAGGGACCTGGCCTGGGTCTGCTCCACTGCTCCACAACACCTCATGGAGACTTCCAAGGGAGGGAGGGGTCCGTTCGAAACAACCCTAAACTTCTTGACTTCTCTGAGGCTTAATTATGCTGGCGTCCTGCATGCTTGCCCCGGCGGCCACGGCTAACTGCGAGCAGGAAAACTCTGCGGCCACAGCTTGCGCAAAAAGCACAAAGTGGGCCAATGAGGTTGCAGGATCAGCCACAGCTGTCCCTGCCCGAGACCATCGCTGCTGCATGACCAGCCTTAGAGCTGCCAATTTCAGACGTCAGCTGCTCAAGCTTGGCTTCTCCTGCTGCTAGGCACATGCCAAATCCCAACCCCGAGAATTGGGAAATTGGTTGAGAAAGTTGAGACCATATCTGTCACCGCCAGCAGAATGCATGACGAGCTTTCAATCAATACGCGGCAAGTCTGTCCCTTCGAACTAGTCAGAAACTTCAAGCATTTTCAATGCAAACTTATCGACATGGCGTGCATGGACCCAATCCCTGACTTAGTGATCCCTCCAAATGAGAGGTTGAACGGCAAAAGGAAAGAACATCAAAGAATTGCAAGATTTGAGGCCGGAGGCTGCCAGAAGCCACTGTCAGCAAACACTCCATTTCGCAAAGCCCTAGAGCTCAAGGGTGTACTGACTAAGCCCCGTCTAAGGTCTCTCAGCTGCGTGCAGCTTTGAGTGCACCAGGTGGTGACTACAAGTCGTAGGTTTTGCTTTATCAAGGTAACCTTTGACGCCTCCCTCCCACCTCGCTGACAAGATGGCGCCGAAGGAGGCAACAGCATCGCGACTTGTCAAATTTTCGAAAACACCTGTGGGGCAACAGAGGCAAGTCGTGTAGCTCTGAAGCTGCCAGACAACAAAACCAGATCAAGGCCAGGGACTGCTCCAGTGCTCCTTGCCCAAGGCGAAGATGCAGCCGGTGGTATCGGGTTGAGCCTGCCATCAACAATACCCACGCCTTACTTGGAAAATTGCGTTCGGGACCGGCGCCCCGGCACAAAGCTACCAAAGCCTCATGGAAGCTGGTGCCAGGGCATCTGCATGTTGCGCCTTTACGCATCTACCTTATGACTTGATGCAGGGGGAGGGTCTGGCAAAGAACTGGAGGCCGCCCCTAGCTCACACGGCTGACTGCCTCTGCTTCCGCATCTGGGCTGCTATGGGTAGCGTTGCAGACGGAGAGAGGTGCTGGAAGCTGTAGACCTCTTTGCGGCATCCAGTTATGACGAAAAAAAGACTCTCTTTAATGGGGTTTGTGCTCGAGGAGCAGCCCAGCATGGTTGCCTTTACATGGGTAGCGTTGCAACTCCGACTCATGCCCTGTGTTTTGGGGTCTGAGAGTTCCCTGCCCTGCAATGTCCTGCCTGGAAGGTGCTCCAAGCTTGGTCGGTCTGCAGAAGGCAGCATGTACGGAGAGATTCCTGTGGAGTCCATGGTCTGAAGCACACTCTCCGGGCTGCTGCGCGCGTTCCGCTTATGTCGCTTTGTGGCCAGATGATCGTCGTAGGCTTGTCGCGACTGGAAGCCCTTCAAATCACAAACGACGCAAATCCACGGCGAGGATGGCATTGGATAGGATGGAGTTGGCGGGGCAGACGCGGCTTTTGTAGCTTGTGGCTTTGCACCTTCCTCCTCGGCCCAGCGCTGCAGCTCATGTTCGCGCGCGGCACGCCGCCGCTCCTGGCGCTCTGCGTGCCGCCGATCCTCCTCAGCTTCCCGGAGGGCCTCGCGGCTCCGCGCCTCTTCCGCACAGGCCTGGGCACGTGCCTGCACGCGAGGGTCTAAATCTTTCAAGAAGGCCACAGCTTCACGGACCTCGGCATTAAACTTGGCGCGTTGCACCTTCCGTCTCTTTTCATTCTCTTGCTCCATGCATCGCCGTGCTGCGCGGTTGGGTGCTGAGGCTAGCTCCTCTGCAGGAAAGGCGCTGGCTTCAGGAAAGGGTCGACGTGTGCTCCAGGAGCTCCAGAAGTTGTAAAACTCGCGGACATCATCCCAAGGACTGCAGGGCCTGCCAAAGCAAACCGACTGCATTGGCGCCTCACCGAGAGGCTCCTCCTGGAGAATATTGTCAAAAGCCACTTGGACGTGTTCCCAACACAACTCGTCTTCCATATCCAATGTGGCCGGCAGCTGCTCTTGCAGGCTTCCTGAAGGACTTTCATCTGACTGTCCCTGGCTTGAGGTAGTTTCCGCTGTGCTGGGGTTGTTGCGGTCGTAGAGCCCACGGCGCCGTGGGTTCATGAGCCTCAGCAGCTGCCACTGACAGGACGCTGTGAGTGTGCGTTGCAGATATGTTGGATCCCGTTCAAAATTCTGATATCGATGCTCCAGCGTTCGGACTTCTCTGCGCCGATCCTAGTTTTGAGCATCTTTCAACCACAACCATAAGCCGGTCTACAGACAAGGACCACGTCTTAATGAATCCCTGAACGCCGCCTTTGTGCCACCTTGGGCACGCAGGCCCTTCTTTAACTCGTTCGGAATCCTCATTTGCATTTTGGAATGGCATCACCACGCCTGTGGATCAAAACCCGTTTCATCGTGGGGCACCCCACCAACCTTGTCGCATATCGCTTTGCAGAGGCCTCCCGTGACATACCTTTGTCGCCAAAGCTTTGTACACAAAAGCCCCACCAAAAAGCCTTGTTGCAAAGGGGCTTTTTCAAGCCGGGCAATTCTGTTAAGAGCCAATGTTGCCTCCTCTTGCAAACCCATTGTTTTTCAGTCGCCACCGTTTGAACTTTGCATGGACCTACGAGATCATCCTACATGATAGTCTCGGCTACCCTCCGTCTCCACACGCTTTTCCTGTGTGCAACACACTAAGTCCAAGGAGCGTGTCATAAGCGGCTTGGATCTGCATCCAGCGTTTTCGTTTGGCATCAGAGACAGACTCGCCCTTTCCTCCGCGCTGCCTGACCTGAGACTTCAGGTCTCACGGAAGCAGAGTGGTAATTATTGCAAAACCCACAAGAACAGCCACAGCTGCGCAAAGGACAAAATTAGATGGCAAATCCTCTTGAACGTTCAAAGGCAGCCAACGTTGCTAGCTGAACGGGGCAACACAGACTGCTGGCTTCCGGTTCCATACGCTGTTCGACTCCTTTCCATGACCCTGTACAATGCCCTCAAAATCCACCTGTGTGCTCTGCTGTTCACCAAAATTGAACCACTATGTCCCTACACTTGAGAAAAAGGCACATGCAAGCATAGTCTCAGCCAAAGTCACCGAGAGCTCAGGGGGACGCTCAGATGCAGCCAAGCGCCTGTACCTGGTGGTGTTGTGGTTTGGGGTTGTCTTTAGGGTATACATAAGCGTGATACCAGTAAGAGCCGTATTATGAGCAGCGACTATGATGCAAAAGCCCTTGCCCTTCATGATATGAGATGGATAGCAGCTCCACAAGTTGTGGGCACAGAATGGCTTCTCAGGGTTATCGATCCCCTTTATCTGGTCCTTCTGCTGGAGATTGTTGAGCTGTTTTTTGGCAGGCCCGTGCTATGTCGGAATGCTAAACAAAGATGATGCGCTGCTTGTGCCTTTTTCCCTGGGAAGTGAACTTGAACCATTTGACCATGTCCCATCCATCCAGTCAGTCTCATGGCGGTGCTTATTTCACATGCCATAGAACCATATCCTAGTGTCCCTGAGACTTACTCTGCTGGTAGAACTCCATTCCCATTTCTTTGCCGCTCCATGCCCTGCCCCCGGCGAACGCTACGCGAAGGTCAGCGCTGGAAGCGTCGCGGCTGACGCCCAGAATAGCATAGAAGTCTGGCTCCATGCTGAAGCGCGCAAGTGCTTGACAATGAAATTTGATGTGGGATTGCTACCTTAATTGATTGCACACAGCAGCTGCAAGCTTGGATGATGTGAGCCTAGAGCCCATGGACATGACGCGCTTTTGGATGCAGGTGGCTTGGGCTGAGAGTGTGGCCATGAAGCTTCCGAACGCAGCAACAGCTGCAGGGCACATACTGCACCCTAATGTGAGAGGACTGAAGTGCGAGATAACCGTCTAAAACTCATCACAATCACAATCCTCGTTTTGCAGTGGGTACTTCCCAGTTCATACATGTCAACACTATGCCTCATAAGCCAAAGGCCCATCCCACACGCTCCAACACAAATTCAAGGCCAGCTTTGCAAAACAAGCCCTGCCGACACAAAAAGACCATAACCACCAACCAAATCCACCTTTCCTTATAATCTAATCTATCTAGCAAATGCAACCCCCGCTACAATTAAAGATGCTTGAAGTTGGCTCATGAGATGCTCATGGCAAAAATTGTTTGTGTACATGTACATTTGTGCACTATACAATGGGCATCTCCCAGTTGAGGGTCGTTTTCCTTCCGGCGAAGTCTTGTCATAGGGAGCAATTCCCAGGTCAGGCTAGGATATTGAAATTTGACCCCTATCTTCTTGATGTTGCCTGTAGACCTTGATGCGCAAGACCTGGCTACTTATTGCAGAGTTTCTAAAACAGGAATACCCTCAACAGCCCTAAGGTGATGAAGGGATGACAAGCGGATGATGGGGTCCTTGTTCTGGAGATTATGTAAGCCAGTTCTACTGGTCCAAACGGCTGTTGGGAAAACCCATGCAGCTAACTAAGCCTAATTGCCCCCCCGCGCCCGACTCAACACGTTCACTTCTTTTTGCACACGTGTGAGGCCAAAGCCCTCACTGTGCTGGCGGGAACGGCTGGGGCCTCAAGCGCTGTCAACAGCCAACGTCTCCCACATCAAATTGCAGCTGTTAACTGTTCAAGGGATCATTGCGTGGGCGCCTGGGACAAGACAGCAGCAATTTCTGGGGTTCCTATAACTCCTTTGCTCAACTTAGTGCTCTGATTGAGCGGGAGAATCAGGAAGCATTAAGGAGGCCTGTCCTTGCAGTGAATGCTGGACATCGCCCGTCACAACATCCCTGAGAGCTTGGATGCTTGGACATGACCCTTGACCACAGAAACCGCCTAGTCGCCCTGTGTCCAGTTAGGGGGCCTTACCCAAAAATTTCAATCAGCTGAGGCTTCAACGCCTGCATCTGAATCTGAGCCATGGGAGCCTTAGCTTCAACAGAATGAATAACATCACTGGGATGTGGGCATTCTGCCAGCAAGGTTTCTACCTGAAAGTGGCGCGTGCGTCACGCCATGCATTGACAGCACGCCTCTGGTAGCAAAGCGGGGAAACAAGAAATGCAGCCGTGCTCTGGCCACCTCTTCTCACACAATGTTCTCTCAGAAATGACTCCTGGGGCAGCCCTGCATATTCAGATGTCAGGTAGCAATTCGTCAGGTCATTTCGCATGTAGACCCGAAGCAGTTTCATGTTGAGAAGATTTGAACCCTCCAAAAAGGACCAGAGAAGTTTTCATTGTTCAGGGTACCCATAGTGCCAGCACGTCCAGCAGGGGCTTTCCTAGAAGCTTACTATGTAATTCACGGTATAATATACTATTATGTACTATCAATATTGCGAGCTGAACCCGCAACCCTTGAAATCTGCTGGCTCCGAGCTCTTTGAGTCATTCAGGCCAAAGGATCCTGAACCCTAAACTCAGCTTGGCAACGCTGGTCCCAGAGCACCCGCCCATAACTCCGCAAGGGCCAGGTCCTCGTGCAAAAAAACTTCTCTATGAGAGTGAGGGAGTGTGTTGAACTGGATTCTTAAAGCATAATGCTATCGCGCAGAGGGCTACGTAGCACATGGCAAGTCCTGCCTTCATGAAAGTTCTTGAAATCCCTCTGGCCTTGCATGCTGCTCTGCATGCCGCCTGGCATGCAAGGCATGGTGCTGCCGCACATGCCCATGCCGCAGGGCGTGCATCCGCCACCCATTCCTTGTGGTTGCCTGAAGCAGCAGAGTGGGTCCAGCGCGTGGCACACATCGGCCAAACTCTGGCAGCAGTTCTAGGATCACTCCGTTGTAGGTTTGGGGGTCAGGCTCACGCTGTATGCTTCCACGAACTACATCCCAAGTACAGCTTAGGCTAAGGCTCCGGCATCATCTGCTGTTGCATCATGCGCTGCTGCATCATCTGCTGCTGCATCATCTGCTGCTGCATCATTTGCTGTTGCATCATCCTTGGGCACGTGCGTACATTGTGGCAGTAAACAGTTGCCAAACATTCTCGGCAAAACAAAGGAAATGCGGATCTGCTTTTTCTAGAGCACTCTAGATGATCCATAGCAGCTGCCCAGCAAGGACCGCAGACACACTGTCCCCATGCTCTTTTTTTGGCCCATAAAGGACACTTACAGTGTGAGAAGCCCTGGTATCAAAAGACCAAGAATCTGCTGCATCTGCATCTGCTGCATCAGGGCACTGTTTGCTTGCGCAGGCTGCGCTGCCAAAGCGCCAGCCGAAGTTGAAATCGAGCTTGAAGGGCAACCTCAGAAGGGTCTCATGAAAATATTGGAGAAGTATGAGCTAGAGGCGCAACATGTACACCTTGACAGCAGGATCCTAGCCACAATGGACGACAAAAGAAACCATGAAGTTGCTGCCCCCTCTGGTGGCTCTTTCCTGGGCTTGCTCAACGTGCTCTCAATAAGGGCAATGCTGTTGGCTGCCGGTGGGGGTGGCGGAGCCACCTTCTCGAACCACGATCACCACATGCTTACCCTTGCTGCACGTCACGTTCATGGAACCCGCAGACATCACCGTTCAGCAATCAACCGCTCAGCCCTTGCCATCAATGACCTTGTGGCGTGTTTGAAAAGAAGCGTGTCCTTACCTAGCCGCCTCAAACAAGCTGATCCACTCTCTACTGTATGAGGAGTCGGACCACAGCAAAACTCATGAAGATGTCCTAAAAAGGTCACCAGAGAGTCCCCAAGGCCTGTGGCACCACCTGACGTGGGGCCGGTGGATCAGGAGGCCTTGGAACTGCTCCTGGCATGGCCCAAGGAGTCCCAGCCGCCCCGAAACAAATATCCACCCAGTAGTGGTGACCACAAGGCATGAAGCAGGGCGTCTCTATTCCTACTATGCCTCCATTAATGGGTGGGGATTCAGTGGGGATGACCTAAACAGAATGCTACAGTTTGGAATGCTTTTCAACTTCCATGTTTTTTTCGGGAGAGGGAGATCGTGCTCAAGATGCAACATCAAAATCCTTTCAATGCGAACGACGTCTTGTGTCAAGCAGGTGTATGCCAGAACAGCCCATGTTCTTTTCGCGTGGGTCCTGGTTGGAAACCAGGGCTGAGAAACAGTCTTCAACCGCGACTGCAGCAGCCGCTTGGGGAGAGATTAAAAAACATCTCATGCTCTGTGCTGTGCAACATGTACAAACGCTGAAAACTGGTGCCTGCCTCTGGGAAGTCTGACCGATCGTACCCATCCCAAGCTGAAGATTTCGCGATTCACAAATTTGTCTTTCAGATTCTTTTCTTAGATCGGCCCTCCCCAGTCCTGTGAAAGAACTCACTGAGATGTTACTGGGCCTGTCCTCTTTCTCCCATCAGGCATCCATGTGAACCCTGGCTTAAGTCCACTTTCCCATTATCTCAATATATAACCCCTGTATAACCCTATATAATATGGCACCATTATGTAAACATGGGAAGGCAACTTCTGCCTGGATCTGGAGCGGCAGCTTTTGGCTGAGCAGGCGCCAAGTCTTCGTTGCTCAAGGGGGCCTCAAGGTACCGGCTCAAGGCCGCGCGTGTAATAGTTGTAGGATGGTGTGTAGTTGCAAGGTTGGGGGGTCCAGCAAGATGCATGTGCTCAGTTGGTCTTCGCGCCCAATCCTGCGCATGCAAAACCCGCACATCTCTTAATGACAAGGCTTCTATCTGCCTCTTCTTGAGACTTGTTATGTTTCCTGACTTTGTCCTACGATGCTTTGCAATGTTGGGCTTCATTCCCTCCATAGGATGCCCTACACCCATCTTGCATGCGGGGTGTGGCAGATTGAGATCCAAGACACTTGACAACACAAATACGGTGGGCGCAATGTGTTTGACGACATCATTTGTCACAGTACCAGACTGGCGCAGTGAACTTTTCAAACCAAGCGAGCGCAGGATCTACAAGAAACCTGTCATGCCAGGGCACACAGGAAGAATGAAGCAACATGCAGATCGGAATCGCCACATGTCAAGAATGGCCATGCCCCCGTGTATAGCAGATACTGCGGTAGAATAGAGTACAGCTGTTGTAGAAAAGGCGCACTCTGGCATCCAGCCGGCAGGCATTTGTGACCACGCTCTTTCAACTTCCGCTGCAAAAACACAGGCCGCCATGAAGCATGGGCCCAACTGCCACTTTCTGCCTAACCCCTCAAAGTGCTCCCAATAA